CTACTAACCAATCATGAACGGAAAAGTGATCCATGAAAACCAGTTTCTGATAGCTAGTGAATATTATAAATAAACTCTATCGTGTTTGTGATTCAGGAAAAACTAAAAAGAGTTGACCAGATCATCGATGGTCATATTCATTGATCTTTAGCAATCCACTGATCATTATTAAACATTAAAACACTTAAGAATCATTTTATCAATTCTCATAATCAACCATAGAGTTTTTAGGCTGAACGAGACAAAAATTGAGGTCTCTGGCCTAATCCTCTCCCCTCCATATGTTACCATTTTCTTGTACATTTAAGTACTTACTCATCAAATTATTCCATTGAATGTTTCTATACAACTTGAAGATCTGTACATGTCATGAAATTGGTTCCTCGAAACTAGACTTCACGGGTTCATTTATATATGTCTGCGTGATCTTCAGGTCAGAACCAGAAGAACTATTTAGGTGTGTGACCATTTGATTGCACAATAAGGAACCATCAAAGCTCTCTCTCCGACTTCTGATTGAACACCAGGTTTCAACTTCAATCATCTTTTAAATCTTTCTTTTATTTTCGTGTTCCCCAACTTCAACCAATTCCGCATTTCCGCTAGAACCTCATGATCACTTACAGTTTTGCAAATAGCTATCAGTTTAGGAAATATTATCAATTGAAAGAATACAGTTCTTGAAACTGTTGTTCCAATGAGCTTCAGAGTAACACTGTTGTCAAATGGCATAAAGAGACACAACTGCAAATTCTCTGAAAGATTCTGATTCTTGCAAATGTGAATCGGAGGGAAAGGATAAGATAAGATGAATTTTGATAAGAATCAGCTGATTAGTCTGTCTGTTATATCATGGAGGGCTGTTAAAACTTTAAGACACCAATTTGATACTTCTAATTTCTGAAAGTAGATCAATATGTAAATATACAGAAACACACTTGACATGGTAAAAACTGCAAACCCAAACACAAATACAGAAGTTATCAGGAGCAGGCAACAAAATAGAGAGACCTAAAAGCAAACTTGTTGTGTGTCTTAGGTTGAAACATCTTTAGGATCTTGTTCATTATCACCTTGGAGGTTTCTGTATCTGTAAAACCAAGAGCAGACAAGGAAATAGCCTAAATTGACGACTCCTCCAATGACTAAAACCCAGTAAACATGATCAACTCTTCCGTGGTTAATGTCATCTGGTAACCACTCGGTGGTCCTCTGGATCAGATCAGTCAGAGCTGTGCCCACATAGAAAGAGATTCCAATCACCACTGAGGTCAATGAAGTCGCAGTGTTCCTCAGAGACTCGGGGAATTCTCCATAGAATAATTCAATATTCGCCGGAAACTGGAACGCCTCTCCTATTCCTAATATCACGAGAGGAGGAAACAGCCATAGCACTGACATGAGATGCTCAGTTTCGACTGTTTTCAGCCTCTTTGCTTCCACAACCGCAGAGATTGCCATGCTTAGGATGGTGAGAACCTGGCCTACACCGACTTTTTGAAGCGGTGTCAGCGGCTTATGTGTTAGCTTCTTGTACATTGGATAGACAAGCCAATTGTTCATCATGATAACGATGCTTGCGGAAATGAGTACTATGACTTGCAGAGACCCGGCTGGGACCTTGAAGTGAGGGCCGATCCCACGGTCTGTGACTAAAGCTTGGAGTACCATCAAGCTTGTTTGCATCACCATGGGAGTACTAACAAAGATTATGGCTAGCCACAGAGGAAGAACTCGGAGAATGGCTTTCAAATCTTCTACTTCCTGAACAGTGCAGAGCCTCCAAACTGAGCCGTCTTTCTGATTTAAGTCATCATCGGTCTTCAACGCTGCACGATTCAAGAACCTGCACATGTAAAGAATCTCACCTTTCAGCTCTGGTTTAAGTTTTATGAATTAGCCAAGTTTTTGTATTCACCTGAAGCTCTTAGAGGGCATTGCAGCAGAAGTCTTGGTTGGTTTTGGGAGCCCACAGTGATAGTCTTCTTCTTTGTTTGAAATCACAGCCTTTCTTTTCACAGTAGCAGCAACTACGACGCGGATCAGACTTGTGAAGGGACTTCCCATGGGTTTGTCATGCTTGTAGAGTCTCTTCCCGGAGACGAACACAATGAAACTGACCAAATTAGCAACAGCGCAGATGCCAAACCCAAGTTTCCAGCTAGCATTGTCCTGTGTGTATACAATTGCCGTAGCGCCAGTAATCGCTCCGGCATATAGTGCAAGGAAGTACCAGTTGAAGAAGCTTCCTTTATCTTTAGGCTTCTCATATTGGTTTGCGCCCGCTGATGCCAAGCTGAATCGCGTTCCACCTGTTCCAGTGGTCGCTAGAGCTAAGGCTGTGTACAAGATGCCGAGCTGAAGTTTTGACGGAGACTCACATAGGATTGAACCCCTTTCACACGGTCGGGGTCTCAAGTAGTCCAAAGAAGCGATCAGAGTTAATAGAAGGATTCCCTGAAAATGTTTAAAACTGATGAGCTTTGTGTATGAGAACATAGAAGAGAATCGAGTCATGAGTCTTGGACTTACAGTTAGGGAAATGAAAGCAGAGGCGGAGATAACGGGAATGTTACCAAAGAAAGAATCAGCTAAAATGGCCGCAACAACCGGCAACATGCCGATGCAACCATTGACAATATTAGAAATCTGAGTAGCAGCAATGTTCTTGATGTTGAATTCCTCGATCAAGAAGACGATCAAGTTCATTACCCATCCGAAAGAAGTTATGTACAGACCTAACATCGTAGCTGCACCACATAGAACCAACCCCACAATCATCAACATTTGTAGGTTT